GGAATCGAAGGTCAGTCGAGTAATCTTGGCTGAAACTCGCAAGTCGGAATTGGCATCGCTGAACGGCATCCAGGAAATGATCTACGAGCCGGATGAAGACTCGGTAGATGTTTCGTCACACGGAGCAGAGCGTCAAGTACATGTACTGTCAGGCAGCGAGTCTTCAAAGTGGAAAACTTTCGAAAATTTCGTGGTTGATTACAGCTTACCAAAGTGCGATTATGGTAATATAGCAGTGAGGACTCGGCGACAGACGAAAGCCAAGAAACGAGTCAGGTTTGCAGATGAACACTCGGAGGATGTCTCAAAAGCTCAAAAACAGAATGAAGAACGACGAGAGACGTCCACCGAAGATTCATTCGGCGAAGATTTGCCAGACCATCCTCACAAGACTGTACCAGCGGCATTTCCCGATGCGGAAGATGTTGATCCGGTAGCGATACAGCGGGAACGACGCAGACGGATACAGGTGGCACAAGACGAGGAGCAGAAGTGGTTTAGTATCAAGAAGGTGCTCCAGGGCCAAGCACAAGAGCTGAGTTACAAAGAAGCTCGAAATGCCTGGAAATACGCTGACCGGTTCGTGTTATCAGAAGACGGCGTGCTTCACTATCTTGGATTGAATCGTCGGTACGACCACGGTTGGCAAGAGGAGACCAAGCTGCGGCTTGTGGTACCGACAACGATGATTCAAGAGGTCTTGCAGAACTGTCACGACTCGCTGGAAGGAGGACATCAAGGCGTGGTGAGAACGTTCCACCGCGTTAAGTCCGATTATTATTGGATCGGCTTGTACGCCGACGTGGAGAAGCATGTGAAGTCATGTCCAGATTGCAGCTCGAGTAAAAGCCGTCCACAACTTCGTGGATACTCACCTGGTAACGTGCTAGCCGAACGACCTTTCCAGATCGTCTCGATGGATTTTGTGATCCCACTACCGAAATCTCGTAGGGGCAACACGGCGTTGCTCCTATTTCAGTGCTCGTTCACGGGATTCGTTATTGCCAAGGCTATGTCAGATACGACTGCACTGAGTGTTGCCCAAGTGTTCGAGGAATGTGTGTACCGACGGTTCGGAACCCCATCATTAATAAGGCATGACCGCGACCCACGCTTCATGAGCGAGGTGTTCCAAGCGCTCGCAGAGATGATGCAGTCAAGATCAAGAGCGACTTTGAGCTATCGGCCACAGGCTAATGGACAGCAGGAACGTTCGGTGAAGTCAGTGATGGGGTCCGTACGGGTGTACGCGGAAGACCCTTTACAGTAAGATTGGGACGAAATCGCGGAGAAGCTAGTATTTGCTATTAATACTTCTCAAGACACTACGAGGAAGGAAACGCCGTTCTACCTCGTTCATGGTTGGGATGCGCAGTCGACGTTGCGGGCAATGTCGTCATCACTCAAACGAGGACTCGGCAAGCAGTCAGACGCACTGGCGTGGCGGCGTGAGATCAATCGACAACATGAGGTCGCCCTCACTATGGCCAAGGATTATCAGGCTGTAGAAAAGGAGCGAAGGGCAAAAAAGCATAATGATGCTCTGAGTCGACTGGTAAAAGCTGCTGTACCTCAACCAAGTGGAAACGAAGACTCGGCGGACCCTCCAGAAGCTTCGGAAGAGATGGAAGATCCTGCAAGAGCCCCACCGAGATCTCTTTTCGAGATTGGGAGCCGGGCGTGGCTGTACATGGAACGCGTCAAACCGGGCTTGACTAGGAAATTAGCTCACCGATGGCATGGACCTTTTCGGATCAAGCGCAAGGTGGAAGAGTTTGCGTACGAGCTGGAACTGCCTGATCGAAGTGGGTATCGCTTTTACCCAGTAGTGCATGTGTCAAGACTCAAAGCTGTCAACGAATTCAACAGTCGACCGAGCACTCGGTTGGTACTTGACGCGACTAATGAAGCAAGACTCGACTTCGATGAGGAACTACTGCCTGAGGACAGCTGGGAGCAGACCAAGTTGCCGGTGAATATGAAGTCGAGGCCATCCTCGACGACAGAACACCACTAACGACGAGCACGGAGCGTGCTGTACGCGAGTTCAAAGTCAAGTGGGTTGGCTATGAAGATACAACTTGGGGACCATCATCAAACTTGTCATGTGGAGGTCTGCTGTACGACTATTTGCGAGCCAAGAAGAGCGAGAATCGGCTGCAGATGGCGCAGGTGGCGGACGAAGACTAGCGTGACTGGATCACGTGTGAACTGTCCACAGGGCGATGCAGCCTGTGGTAACAGACGAAAAACGTTACTGCAACAACAAATTGTATATGCATTTGAAGAACAACATGAACATGATTACGCTGTGGAAGTGGATTAAGAATAAGAAAACGTGAATGCCGACTGGAGAGCGGCCACTGAAAACGAAGTCACGTGGGATACCTCAACAGTTGGCTGAGATGCTGGAGAACGTCGTGGAACACGCAGCGAGGACATCATCGAAACCAACAGCAGTCTCGAGGCGACGCTGAGTGTGCATATCGCCGTGGAGAGGAGGCGCAACGCTGAGCTGCACTTGGTGACGAGCCATTGCAGTCAAGTACGGGATTATCGAGGTCATCATGTGATCGACCGATGCCTCCGTACTTTCAGCCAGCATGGCGTGCAGCGAATCTTCGGTGAGTGGTGGTGGACCACCAGCTGGGGCAGGAGGAGCAGCAGGAGCCATCTCCGCGGATTCAGCGACGACGGGGAGTGCTGCAGGAGCTACCGCAGGGAGTGAAGAGTCCGGGGCAGGAAGCGCCGAAGGACCAGTCGATGACGCCGTTGTCGGAGGAAGTGCAGCAGACTGAAGGGCGTTCGAACCCTCGGTCTTGCCCTCCTGAGAAACAAGTCGAGTAATGCGAGGTGATGAGCAAGGTACCGATGATTCAAGGGAAGGATGAGCTGACGTACCTCCAGCTGTTCACGTTCGCGACGTCTACGGGGATTGAGACGCTGAAATGCGTCGGACACGACTCGATTCAGGCGCTTGGACATACGGTGGCGAGATGGTGAATTGGAGAATGAAGAAATGTCACAACGGGCACCAGTACCGTGGCTTCCATTGCGACAGGGGCAGTTGTGGTGTAGTGATTTCTCCGTAGTTGCGAATTATCACCCGTCGACAAAGACGTGACACCGCCCAAGATGTTCAAGCGACGAACCCTCGGTCAGGATGTACGGAGACGCCAAGGTGCAAGGGACTCGACGGCGTCACCTCCGAGTTTTCAGCAAGTATCGGATACGGCCTTATGTCACTGAATCCAGGCTGTCCTTATTATTAATAATGGACTGGCCGGATTCGCATTCAGCGGACCATCTACGGTACGAGCCCTCAGTGGCGGTTGGGATGAGTTCGCGGAATACTCAGCGACCTTTGGAAGACACGTTCACCGTCTGGGACAGGGCGCGGACCGTTAAAGATGCTCATGCGACAGTGCAGACGACGCTTGGCATGCAAGAAGATCCATAACGGATCATTGTTCACTTGATATTTGTATACTTGATTAGGACTTCTTATTAGGAATAGACCCGAAAGGGTAAGCTTAAATACAGAACAGAATTTCCACTCAAGCACACAGAGCGACGTCCGGCTTCAAGGTAAGCGTCAGGTCAAGCTTGTTTGAGCGTGTTATGCCTGTCGGTAGACTCGAAGCTCTGTAGCGAGGGTTCATCCGGCAAGGCCAAGAGACTTTGTGTATTGGCCGATTATTATCGGGAGGTTTTACGTGACGGCTTATTGTTGCCTATTTGCACGACTGGGAGTGCTTTAATTGCCTCCCCTTTATTTCTTCCAGCCGAGTGTTGAACACTCGGTGATCTCGTAAAAGGCTTACCCGTGCCTGGTACCCTTCCGCTGTTGGGACAACGAGGATTCAAAACACCTGCTAGCTTTGCTCGTGCTAGTAGCGTGTTCTTTTTTTTACTGGTTGGCCTATATAAGTAGTTTACAAGGTCCAGTTTGTCCCGGTGCAAGGGCAGAACTGGGGTCTTCAGGTCCGCCCGAACGATCGTTTACTATCCTAGTAGGCGTATTGTTGTGGGAACATCCTAACTACATTTGTAGCTAGAGTTCACGTGGGAATTCCAACACCACAGGTCCTCCTCTGGAATATCTGGTGGGTTTTGTGCTGATATGCGTAAAAATACTCGAAAAACGCACCCCAACTCCCGAACGTCTCCTCATCCATACGTGGGGCTCGGGCAACAACGACGGCAGATGTGGGGACGTGGACCTCCGGGGATTTAGCTTCAGTGGTCTCGGCGTCGGGCTCGGATGCCGACGCGGCGCTCGCCATGCTGCTTGTCCAGCTTTTCGCGCCTCTTTTGAAATGAAAGGCCCAGAATGAGTTGGGAGGGGTGAAAGGGGGGGAGGGGTGTTTTTCTACTTTTGATGCTGACTGATTTGTCGGGATTTTATCCGTCAGGAATATTTTTCTTGCCGGTATCCAGTTCCTTTTTTTAATGCCAGTCGCCGCAGGTTTTTCCTCGAGTAAAGCCAGTACCGGTAAACTGTCTAGTTCAGCTTCGTTTTTTTTCACTTAAAGAATCAAACGGTTTTGCAATTCCGACCGAGAAAGTGTTTTTTTGGGCTGCAGTGCTCGTAACTTAGAAGTGTACTCCTCCAGAAATTTTATCTCTTTTTCAATCCGCTGTGGTGTAGTGTTTGTCACTTTTCCGTGACGCCCTCAAGCTCGACCCGTCCCTGTCCTGAGAAGTGACCGCGGTGGGGTTCGCATTCGTAGGTTATAATATTTAAATTTTAGCTTTTACATACAATCCATACCTTTTGACCCATACTTTATTGACTTATCAACCTGTTTACATGTATAAACCTGCTCCAACCCTTATAAAGAATAGCCTTTTTCTATAAAGTCAGCCTGTCCAACAGCATCGTGCTTTAATATTTATGTAGACCAGCTTGTGAGTCACGCTCGTTACAAAAGTACACCACCATCTGTACAGAAGCCACCACAGATAGCTTGGGTCGTCATTCATTCCCGTCAGTAACAATGAGCGCCAGCGAGGCAGAGGCAGCTGTGATCTCCACGGGCGTCACCGCCGGTAACTATGCGCTATATGGATGATACTTCTTCTCCACCTTCCTCTCACTCACTTCCTCATCATTATCGATGCTTTCTGCGCAGTGGAAGACGCAGCCAAGCGCCATGCGGAACTTTTCGTCGAGTTCCCGGAGTTGGAGGTCAAGAAAGTGTCAAGTCTGGAGCGTGAGAAGAAGGAGCTGGCCAACCGCTCGCTGGTCTACGGCGAGATTCCGTTTGAGACAGTGGACGCTATTTTTCAGCTGGTAAAGAGGCGCAGGAGGCAGGAATTTGAGAGGCCGAAGAGGACTGACTTTCTGTTGGTAGATGAGAACGCAGTTTGGTGTGCTGCTGGATAAGGGAGGCAGCTTCTACGACATCGGCTCGGGCTGTGGCAAAGTGGTGCGTGTTGGCTACTGGTTTGCTGGTGAGGTGCGGAGCTTTGGCTGAGTTTGATGATGAGCAGGTGATGGCGGCGGCGTTGCTGCACGATTTCTCCAAGTGCTGCGGCGTTGAGGTGAGGGAGGCAGAGTGCGGTACTGATGACGAAGTCTAGCTGACTGTGAAGGATGTTTAATCTGCAGGTGCTGGATGGACTGCACGCAGTAGCGCTGAAGGTTCTGGATCGGTGGCGGTTTGAGATGCTGGACTCGCTGCCAGCGACCAAAGTGGACGTAGATGTGGGCTTTGTCAAGGGCGACGCTGTCAAGCGGCCTGACATCTGGCGGGATGCCACTCTCGTGTTTTGCAACTCGACTTGTTTCAGTGACAGCGTACGTTTTTTTCTTAAAGTTCCTTCGTGTCGTGTGGAAATTTTGCTTACTGTTTGCCTTGAGTTGACCGGATTCGTTGCAGCTTATTCAAGCGATTTCAACGGAAGCAGGTACGACGGATGGCTTGGTAATGAGACTGAAAGATGCGGAATTGTTTAATGTTTTTGACTGGCTGCAGACCAATTAGCTGTGGGTAGCTACTTCGTGACGGTGACCAAGCCTTTGCTGTCGACGCGGTGGCAAGCGATGCATGAGGAGAAGTTTCACATGAGCTGGGGTCGCGCAACTGTTATTTTCCAGAAGAAAATGTTCTAGTTCGAAAAGATGTTGATCGTTTCCAGAGTTTTGATTGAGCACACTGGACACATACTACGTGATAGGAAGCAACTTCGATTGGGTACTTGTGTGCTGTGAATTGTGCTCGCGGAAAGGCCAACTAAGCCCAATTGAAGCATATTAATGGCTTCTGGGTGTGAAATCTCAAACGGACAGGAAAGGCCAAACCTGTTGACAGCCTTGTTGAAGACCAAGCCGATGCTGGCCCCGTCTTTCTGGTCTCTTGCTGCGACGGCAACATCAACAGGAGCAGCGCCCCGAGCGGGCAAGCCACAGGACTAAATAGCCGACGTCGACGTTGCTGATCTGTTTCTCCCGTGACTGCAGCAAAACTGGCGGTGGTGACCCAATGGAATGAGTTCACAGACTTACTGGATCCAAGTCTTAGCTGCCCTGCCATGACTGATTCAATACCCAAGCTGTTTACTCCTGCTGTGCTGTCCGATTACCGGGTACCGTAAGCGTATCAAAGTCTCTCTCGTTGGCCACGAGCTGCCAGTCACGAGCAGCTAAACTGCTCCTGATCCCAGAATCCACTGCGTCACCAGCACCCCCACCGACGGTCGGTGGAGCCGACCGCAACGAACAAATGTATTACCATCTCAACGCCCCCCAACCATCGCCATTCCACCTCCACGAACCACCCAAAGCCAGCGCTGCTCACTCCAGCCTTCAAGTCCTCTCCAAGAAGTCTCAAGCTTCCACCGTCTTCGTCGTCGTTGTCTTCCAGTATTCCGTATTAGCAATATCTCTTCAAAATAAGCAACCGGCATGTGCAAAGTCTAATAACAGGAGAGAGCCAGCACTTCAACTACAGTTCAGTCTCTTTCTCATTGGATGGTCTCCTTTAAGTCCGATTAGTCATATGCCGCCTGGCGAGCGGGAGAGCTCCATCCTTCTTCTCCGACGCGCGCATTCTCTGGTCGATTTCTCCATCCACAGAGACCGCCATGAGCCCCCGCCAAGTGCACCCGATGCGTTTTCGTCATGTCTTCCTGTTAATACCGTTTTTATTATTTGGGACGCTCTGCTCCGCCCACATGCACGTTTCCGAGCGGCGTCATCTCCAGCAGCAGGCGCGTGACATGTTTTACCACGGTTACCGCAATTACATGGAGCACGCGTACCCGTGGGATGAACTTAAGCCTCTGAGCTGCTCCGGACGCCGCTGGGATCGTCGTGAACGTGGAGATCTGGACGACGTACTAGGAGGTTTCTCGTTGACGCTTGTAGACTCGCTGGATATGCTGGCGGTACTGGGGGACCGCGACGAGTTCGCACGCGCTGTCAAGCTCATATCTAGTAGCGTTTCTTTCGACCGGGACGTGACAGTGTCGGTATTCGAGTCTACTATTCGAGTTATTGGTGGACTAGTGTCAGCGCACATGTTGGCGTCTCCAGAGTATTTCGGAATGATGGACGAGAGCGAGTACAATGGAGAACTACTGGACCTTGCAGAGGAGTTGGGACGAAGATTACTACCCGCTTTTGAGACCCCCACGGGGATTCCTGTACATAGAATTAATTTACGTCATGGCGTACTACCCAGAGATCGAGCAGCCAACTTGACGTGTCCGGCGGCTGCTGGATCGTTGCTGGTGGAAATGGCCTATTTGTCGAGACTAACAGGGGACGAGAGCTTCGAAGAGAGGGCGAAACAGGCCGTTGTGGCGATCTGGGACCGACGATCAGATCTAGATTTACTGGGGAGCTCTATTGAGGTGGGGTCGGGGAAATGGATCTACTCGCATGGAGGCATTGGGGCTGGACTGGACTCGTTTTTTGAATATTTACTGAAGTATCATCTTATCAGTGGGGATTCCGAGTGGCTGGCGATGTTTAATGCCAGCTACCACGCGGTAGAAACTCACGTGAATCATAACAACGTGTATATTGAGGTTGATATGAACGGAGGCAGGAACCAAGTGCGTGCTCGTCGCGTTTCAGCGTTGCAAGCTTTCTGGCCGGGACTTCAGGTGCTTGCAGGCGATGTATCGGGTGCCATTCGCACTCATGAGCACAAGTTCCCACTCTGGGACGAATACGGCGCCATGCCCGAGCTATTAGACTTGGCGCCGCATGGCAAATCCAAGCCTGGGAACCGCGGGACTGTGATTAGCTGGGCGCGTACGTCTCCACTTCGTCCGGAGCTGATTGAAAGTACTTATCATTTGTTTCAAGCCACAAAGGACCACAAGTATCTCAAAATGGGGCGACAAATGCTGCAGGACATTCGTCGTGTGTCAGAAGTGCCTTGCGGTTATGCCGCTGTGGGAGACATCCACACACTCGATGTCGAAGATCGCATGGACAGCTACTTCCTTTCAGAGACTGTAAAATATTTATACTTACTCTTCAGCGACGACCCACATGTGATCGTCCCAGGCCCAGCACGACGGCGCAATACTACAGTATCAACGAATCGGACCTGCTCTGCAACGATATCAGACGAGAAACTCACGCTTGGGTCAGCAGTATCTTGCAACAACCGCTCAGCCAACGCGAGCTCGACTTTGGAGCAGTTTTCCTGCGTCAGAAGGAACAGGAAGCCTCTCAAGGCATCCGACGTTGTTTTCAGTACGGAAGGCCACATCTTGATGCTCGACTCGCATCTTTTCCGGCACACAACGAAGCAGAAGGCATCGTCTGCTTCACCAAAGTGCGAGAACGGGAAGCTGCAAGGTCACAGACGTAACGTGGAGCTGGAAGTGGCACGACAAGTCCAGCTAACGCCTCCAGTTATCCCCGTGGGAGTGGCTGTACGCGCTGGTGGCGTTCACGTGACGACGCTTGTGGCTTCTCCTGCCAAGTTTGGACTGCAGGTCACGACTCCATCTGCAGTGGAAGCTCCGCTGCAGCTCTTTGTCCCGGATATTGGCGAGGCCTGTGGGTCAATAGACTCCGAGCGTGTGCGTGGCAAGATTGTCATGGTAGCTCGCGGTACGTGCACGTTTGCAGAGAAGGCGATGAGACTGCAAAGCGCTGGTGCAGTGGGTGCTGTGGTTATCAACTCGAAGGCGACTTCCAGCAGATATCCGAACCGCAAGTACTCGCTGGCTGATGACGCTCGTGGCCTCGGGCAGTTCGTGACGATCCCCGTTCTTCTTGTATCTCGAGAAGATGCCTCACAACTGCACAGACACGCCAGCCTCAAGTGGCCTCTAGACGATTCAGACGCAGAAAGCCACGTTCAAAGCGGTGGCGATGTACTTATTGGCTCGCTCTCGCCTTGGCTCTACTGATCCAGATGGGTAGATGGGTATTATGATAGAAAGTAAAATGCAAAGATGTATATACTGATGAGGACGAGCCTAAATGTCTTCGTCGAAAACGGTGAGATCCACACGCACTTGGTTGCCTTTGGCCATTTCTTCGTCGTCATCGTCTGCGATGAGGTGCACGATCTTGTTGACGATGAAGCTCGAGCGTTGTTTCTGCAGAGTGACGTCGTGCGGCTCGTCGTCCACTACGAGCATCAGCACGTACTTGAGCAAGATCAGTCCGTGCTCAACACACACAAACAGCCACAGTCGCTCGTGGTCCGTCAAGTTGGTAGTCGTGCGTCGAGACGTAAAGCAAACGAGCGCCACGTTGGTCACCATGGCGATGGAGCCCATCAGATCGATGATCGTCCCCCAAGTACCGATGTCCTGTGCACCTCGAGGATCTGGACGGCGCGTAGCGTTCACGAGCTTGTGCGCGTCAATGCGAATCTCAAAGAAATTGTTGAACAGAGCGAACGCTGGAGCCAGCGGGAAGGACACGACGAACAGCGTCACGTAGCCGAACTGGATGATCATCTCGTTGTAGTCATCGAACGTCCCCTTCTCGTCGTACACGTCCAGCTCCAGTTGCTTCTCGATGGCTGAAGGCTCACGATACACGCTGTTTTCTTTCTTGTTCCTCTTGAGCTTCTTCATGATCCACGGCAGACCCGCTTCGAAGAAATTCCCAGAGGTGAGTCGCAAGATGAAGATGATCCCCAGACTCATCATCAGTTCGTCCATGCAGCCGTGACCTTCTGGTTTGCACGACTCGTGGCCTTCCACGGACGTTTTGATGAACGCCACGTAGAACAGACTTGCATACGAGTTGACGAACTGGAAGAGGAACGTCTTGCCGATCAGATGATCCTCGTACTCAGTGTCGGTTCGGTGGTTCTCAAACTGATTGAGTTTCGCGGCGACAGTACTGTACACGTTGTTCATCACCATGATCTGAATGGCGTTCACTGTAGACGCTGCTGGTCCCCCCAGTTGCGTACCGTTCACTGTGAACATGTCCTTCCACTTGCCGGACGTGGCTGCGTACCGGAACACGAAGATGCCAGCCACGACGGCAACAACCAGCAGGATGAGCATACTGATGAAGAACTACAGTAGTGGGCAAAAACGACGAGCTGAATCATTGTGTCTTCCTGCTTGGTCTCAGATTTCATTCCTCACAGTAGTGTAAGACGTACCAGTGAGCCCATAACGCGTCGGGAACGCGTCTGTGGACTGAAGTAGCGGATCTCCGAGCCGTCAATAGGGGAAACCGTTGGCTGTCCCTCGAACTCCGGTCGTTCCACTTCTTCTTCCTCGAAAGTTGACATCCCCCACTCGAGGGCTAACGCTGAGTTGTAGCGCTTCCAGTATTCGTAGTAGAAACTGTAAGAAAGAGAAAAAAAGAAGACTGAGGTTGGTAGCTCCTCATAATGTGAAGCATCCACGACAGTTAAGCTGCAGCTTACATCGACCAGAGAGCCATGAAGAGCCCAAAGTACGGTACCAACGCGGAATCGGCGGTATCTTCGACCAAAACGTCGGCAAACAGCAAACATCCGACAATTGCTGGTGCGATGAGCCACGTCGTGTAGTGGCCTGGACAATAAGACAAGTGAGCAGCAGCACATCACAGCAGCAAAGGTAGAGCATACTACACTCACCTAGCCACGCGAAGTAGAGCCCCACTTTCTCGCCGAAGTAGTCCTTAATATCCCACAACGGCTGTTGCCAAGGTGCAAACTTCCAGCTGAACCACTTGTCTCGGAGCTTGTTCAGCTCCGCTGGTTCGTGCAGTGGGAAGGCTGCAACAAGGCACTTGTCGCGCAGTAGATCACTCAAATCCAAGCCGCAGCCGCCCTCTCCTTTCGTTTTGATGATGTTGAGCAGTAGCTTAATGCTAAAAAAAAACCAACAATGAGTCCCAATGTCCCTTTAACCCATTTTGCAGCATGTTTAAACCATACCGATCAACTCCGCGGAACGGAATCTGCTTGTGTCCGTGCTTGCGATAGGCTGGATACAGTCGCGGCTCGACGTCAAACTTGGCAAAGATGTTCTGGAACGGGTCTCGATGCGAGATCTGGTGCTCGTCCTTGATGACGATCTTCTTAATGTTCTGCTCTTCATAGCCCGTCTCAGCGACCCTGCGTAGCTCTGTGGGGTCGAATTCGACCTTGTAATCGATGCGATCGGCCTCTTTCGACAGCCTTTCCAGTGTTGCGCGTAGTTTACAGAAGACGTGACCTCGATCGGTTGAGTAGAACATTTTGGTCTCGATGCCTCCACGAGCCACGTGCTGCAATATAGTGCGCATACTGAACTTCTTCTGCTGCTCCGAGAGCTCAGCAGCCTCGTCGTGCACCTGGAAGACCAGCACATAGTCGAACGAGTAGCCGTTCTCCTTTTCAAACTCCTCGTCCAATTGGATGCGAACGTCTTTAGCTTTGAGTGAGGCGTTGAGTGAAGACCCACGACGGGAGACTCCCATCTTGAGCACCTGCAGCTTGCCGGCCGCCGACATGACCGAGTCGATCTCTTCTGCAACAGTCTGCGATGAAGTCGGCAATGGGTTCAAAAGTGTCGATTAACAGACTGAGATGATGCACAAGTGCCTTTTGAGTCGCGCCGTTACAAAAGTGTAGCATGTACCCACTTGACGCAAGAATTTGATTGGTCGAGACGCAAAAAAACGAAAATCGCTTCGATACCTTCAACTACATGTACCGGTTACCGTTAAAAGGGCACTCGTTAAGCACAACGTGCCGTGTCGAGTCCCATGTCGCGACAGAATTCGTTCTCCATTTGCTTGAAGACGTCGTCGTCTGCTCCAGCGGGTGCAGAGCGCGTCGGATCTGCCTCTTTACCTGGCATCGACGACAAGTTGTTCGCAGCTGCTGTTCCTGGAGGAGCGCCGTCCTCCCCGCGGTTCTGCCGTAAGCTCGGAGCGCCAGCATCCGAGAGACCCGATTTCAAGGCACGTGCAGCTTTCATCCGTTCACTCTCACGCTTAAAGTAGGCTTCCATAGCTGCTCGTTCGCCACTTGTTGGTCGTGACAACGTCCGAGGCACCTCCAAAATGTGCAAGTTGCCAATCTGATCCCCGACGGCGACGAGTTGCTGCTTGATGTTCGTCGTGGCGTTAGCTGGAGCATTTTGGCCTGCGTTAGTACGCCCTCGTGCACCTGCAGCGTCCGTTGCCTTGCCTTTGCCAGTCCCAGCTCCCGTACCGCTAGAATTGGTGGCATTGGCTGAATTTCCACTTGGATTGGGCACAAGTTGCGGCCTGAACTCAATAGACGTAAGCGCACACGCCGTGACGCCGATGGACAAACTCGATCGATGCGACTGGTCCAAAAAGTCCCAAACCTCCAGCATTCCGTCGGCTTTCCCCAAGAAAATCACACCGGGGCGTGACGGAGAGAACGCTACACACGTGATGACCGACGGGGTGAGTGGCGACACAAAGATGGGCCCATTAGATGCAGTACTTGAGTCGTCTTTAGCTCCCCCTTCGTGCTGTTGGGAAACATTCCAGAGGTGGAAATGCGACTCACTTGCAGATAAAAAGATACTCGGGAAGAAAGGAGAAGCGCAAAGACCCAAAATTGGTCGAGAATGGTCTCGACACAGCCACTGCACGTACTCGACGCCCTCGTCTCCACCTCTTCCTCCATCATCCCCCTTGTTGCCGCCTTTTGCAGGAGCGTGAGGACGCCAGTCTGCGTACACGAACTCTCCTTCCTCGGTGCCACAGTAGAATTTACTTGTGAGTGGCAACACGCCTCCACTACCTCCGTCGCCACTGCCAGGACCAGTTTCTTCGCGTGTCTTCTCTAGCCAAAGCGTTTGCAGTGTCAACTCTCCGGGACTGTCCAGCTTGGCCAACGAAATGGAGTAGATGGGCACAAAATGCACATCGGGTGTCGTGCCGTCCTTAGCGCCAGCAGTGCCAGCTTTATCAACCTTGGCTCGCGTCATCCCGCGGTACTTGGGGTCTTTGAATCGTAGATCCCAGAAGGAAACTTGGCCGTCGGCTGCGATCGTGACGAACTGATTGACAGCGCCAGCATCAGCCTCAGAAGAAGCCACAACGTGGCCTCGACTGTTGACTTCAACCCCTGCTGGTAGCCACTGGAGATCTGCTACGGGTCTGCGGTGACTCACATCAATGTACGACACGAACAGAGGCTTGACAGGAGGCACTTGTTTGTGCGCATCGTCAACTCTCTTTGACGAAGAGGAAGCACTCGTTCCAGCTGCCGGTCCGGACGGGGTTTTGGTCGTTTTCATTTTACTGAGCAAGTGTTCCGCCTTGGAGAAGTCCCAGACGAGCACTTGACCGTTGTACAGACCTGCAGCGACGAGATGTGGAGCTGCAGGGTTGAAGCGCATTGATAAAACGTCCTGAGGCGACTCGAGCATGATCTGCGGATGGATGAGGTCGACGAAGTTCCAGATGAGGATGAACGAACTTTCAACGGTATCCAGCAGATCTAAACGACGTGCAAATGAAGCGTTAGCTGCCGCTGCAACAGCCACGACGCCGTGTCGTCTCGGATGCCAGTCGACTGCGGGCAACGTCTTGTTCTTGCTGTACACGAGATCCGTGAAGCTTCTCAGTTCTCTCATGACGTTTTCATTGTTCTTGTTGCCCAGCGAAGCGTCCTCTTCTTCCAGTAGATGAGCGAATGGGTCCAAAAACACATCCAGCGTCTCGTTTTGTTGCAGTGCACGCTCCACACGAGGCAAGACATGCGCTAAGAAGGCCTGGATCTTATCACTGTCCATCTCGGCTTGCCGTTGTGCCGGCTCCATGACAATCGGTTCGTATTGGAGCGCACTGTTCACTGAACGGAACCAGCTCGTCTGTGTAGTGCCGTCCACCAACGGCGGTGTACCCTGAAGCCCAACATCTTGCTCTAAGCGTGTGAGCTCGTAGTTGGGGTCCTTGTGCTGTCTCCACTCTACAAAACCTGAAGTGAAATCCAGGATAAACTTTTAGAAAGGAAAACACCTGCACTTGATAACCTGATTACACCCGTACATTGGTCTGCGTCACGATCGCTAAACTTGTAGTCTGCGTTAAGTTCGTCCGACATTTTCGTCACCGACATGGTTATCTGCAAGCACACAGCTCAGCATTACCGGTAAATGGTGGCTCGAACTACAGCATTACGAACCAGAGGACGAGACGGCACCACACTGAGTGCTTCAACATCATCATGCGTCTCACGAGCAGTGACCGACGTCCAAGGACGCGAAAGCATCGGTCTGTCCTCGTACACAATCTTGGACACATCGTTGGCATCTGCTGCATTGGCCTCTTTCTCCTGAGCTGCGAGAGCATCCAGTCGATCCTGTTCGCGACGGTTGATCAGCTCCATCTGCGAGTCGAACGCGCGACGGGTGAGACAGAGCAACCAGTTCTCTCCAAACATCTCGTTCGGGTCAGCTACGATGAGAATGTCGCCCCCTGCCGGCATCTTGGCGATCTCGGCTCGGAATTCGTGGAACGGACACATGAAGCCTACTTGGGCGATCTGATCGAGCACCTCCTGTCGCGTGAACACCTTGAACTCGACGGTCTCACGTAACCCGCTGCCGGTTTTGAGTCCTAATGTCTCCATTTCTCGCATCGAGATCATCATGGGGCGTGTGCCCGCCGGCGCTGGCTCCACTTCCTTTGCCCCCATCTGTCCACCGCGTACGGTTAATGGGAAGTGCCAAAGAGACTGGTGCAGTTTAGATTCGTTACTAGAACCGACCTTTCATCCACTCAAATGTAAAGCTTAATTAACACAAGATGCCGGCCGATAGGCATCAAAACCTCGAGCAAAAAGGAGCACAGCGAGCGTCAGAGCAAAGCATGTGGATGACAGTACTTTATATCATCTGTCTATACTCGTCTTCCACACTCTTCACCTTCATCTACGCTTGTTAAAAGTTCTCGAGCCAGTCGAGGTCTCCGCTATGAGGCGAGACGGGCTCTAGCATTGGCATTTCTGTACTAGCGGCAGATGTGAGCTGTTCCTCCATGAGCTTCGTTAGCGCGTCGGCATGCTCTTGATCCGCAGTCTTAGACGCCAATACGACCCAGTCGATGTCTCGGAACCACGGGTGAGCACGGATAGCGGAACCTCCTTTAACAATGTCGACAAGACCTTGGCCTCCTAAACGATCATCCGGGAACGGGTCGAGAAGCTGCTGAACAAGGTCGCAGGCTTCTCGTGACAAGTCGTCGCGTGTGATCTTGAGTGCTCCTTTGTTGTGGCGCGAGATCTTCGAGTACACCGCCATCGTCACGTCCTTTTCATTGGTAAGACGCGTCGTCGGGCTGGCTTCGGATCCGAAGCTTGTATCTGCTGTATTGGGGTCTTCTCCGTTCGTTCGGATGGAAAAGGGCGTACGACCGCATAGCATCTCGTAGACGAGGATTCCAAGCGACCAAATGTCTGCACTAGCCGTGTGACCACGCGCTGAGACCATCTCCGGCGCCATGTATTCAGGAGTACCACAGATTGTGTACGTTCGCGTCTCATCAGGTAAGCGCTTCATGTGCCGGAAGTCGTGGAGTTGCAGATACCCACGTGTGTCGACCAGGACATTATCGCTGCTGAGGTTTCGGTACGCGTAGCCAGCTTGATGGATGTACTCGAGCATCAGCAGAGCCTGTGCTGCAAAGCCGCGTACTGTCGATTCGTTCTCGAACCGACCGGTTGGTTCGTCTGCCAGCATCGTTCCCAAGTCCGTGACCATGGCCGTGTCGAACGACAGATACAAGGCACGATCATCTCGCCAGAACGCCACCATCTCCGGTAACATGGGGGTGTCCAGACGGATGGTCTTGTGCGTCATCACGTAGCGCGCAGCTTCGTCGCCACGGCGATCAGCTGCTACCTGCTGGAAGGAGAAGACGTTGACTGTGAAGAATCTCTTCGTGTCACTCACGCCCTGATAGACTGCCAGGAAGCCAAAGTCCGTCTGCTGTACAACGTAGCGGAAGCGCATGTCTTGAGGTCGCAACGGCACCATGACCATCGAGTTGCGTCTTGCCCCATGCGCGGCTGGACTGTAGATTAAATTCTTAACCGCAGTCTCAAAGTTGTGTCGAGCCTCACGCTGTAGCCGGTCAGCTTCAATCATATCCTGTAACGACCCCAACACTTCCTCGAACTCGCGTCGGCCAACTTGCAGCAGCTTCGTACGCCCCACTGAGATAACGTTAGCAGCTCTCGGTGCATCGTTCAACAGCGCGCGTTCGCCAAAGTACTGGTTCTTCTTGAGCCTCAGCACCTCTCGTGACGTTCTCTTCTTGCCAGGACCTGCTGACGCATCGTCTTCCCAGATCGTACAGATCACAGCTCCCTCCTGGATCACGTAGAACGTATCACCAACGTCTCCCTGGTTGATGATGTAGTCGCCGTCATGATACACGACTTCCGTCAGGTTGTTGGCCAAGCGCTCGAGCTGAGCTTTGGTCAGTGTCTTAAGCACGTCCACCTTCTTCAGTGTTTGAACCAGCACCGATGTCGGCGCCTTAATAAATACGCGTCGGAACGCACGACAGTCAATGGCCCAGAGCACGCCGGCCGACAACGCCTTGACCGAGGACGACCGAGGACTGTTGTGCATCAGAGCTAGCTCACCGAATGATGCTGGTTGGAGGTCTCCGCAGTGATCCGGGTTCACAGGTGGCTGCGTGTACGTGTGTACAATACTCTCTGGACCCCCGTCGTCCCCACGCACACTAACCTGGTAATCTCCACACTCGACGATGTAGAATTTGTCGCCTGGGTCACCCTGGCGAATCACCATGTCGCCTTCACGAACACTGATACGCTCCATGACAGCAAATATGTCGTCCTTCTGAGCCTGTGTGAGCTGTCGGAACAGCCCAGTTGTTCTTCGTCAAGGGCCTCAGGCAAACGCAGCTCCGTGGACGACTTGAGATGACGTGGTCGCTCACCACGGTACGCCAGATCTCCCTCTTGACGAGCTGTGCCATATCCTTGCGCATCTGAGCACGACGCTTCTCTTTGGACATTCCACGACGCACGGGACGAAGCTGCTGCGAGACATCCTTCTCACTTGTCTGTCCAGGCAACCTCCTGGCCATCGAGTTGGTCCTCGGGGTCGTTCCAAGCGCAGCTCCACTGGTCGTGGCAGCGCCCTCACTGAAGTGGAAGTACACGCAAATAATGGTAATGTCATCTGTCCGCAACTCGTACGTCAGCCAGAGATGGTAAGACTCTGCGGCCACCTTGTGACACGCCTCCAAAGGGTCTTCGTACTGAGCCACCATATCCACAACAGCTTGGCTCGTGAGGAATTCGAACACCCCGTCACTGGCAATAACAATGAAGCGGTCGTCCTCCGTTAATTGGAGTGACGTGATCTCAGGGACTCCAATAACACCCAGTGTCTCTGCGATTTCATCACCGAGACTTCGCGTGAACGCTGTGCCAGGGAAAGCACCATACGGCGACCAAATACGCGGCGGATCACCGTCTTCATCCACTTGGTCATTCAAGTTGGCCGCCCAGTTCTACAAACCAAGCTAGTATTGGTATCAAATCGACTCTGTAGAGCGAATAATGCGACGTACGTCATGCACAGGGGCGATTCCCTCAAGCTGATCCATGGTGAGCACGCGCGCTCCAGATCTTTTTACACGCTCACGTTCATCCTGCAAAGAAGTTATAGCCATATAAAAACAATATTTCACTGTCACTGGCATGGCCCAAATCGTTCTTACCGATCGGTAGGGTGTTTGGTCGACAGAAAGCGGCTGTGCGACTAGTTTTCCTTCACTCATAGTCGCAATAACTGCTCGGGAGTCGCCAACATTGGCAACATGAATTGTTTCCCCGTCTAGAAACATGCAGATCGCTGTGGTGCCGCTCAAACTGTCATCAATACGCGACGCATGCAGCCGCGCGTTCGTCTCCTCGAAGGACTTGGAATAAGCCTCCAAAGAGGAGCAGTTCTTCCGATCCAGAATGCGAACGAGTCGTTCGGGACACTCCTTGCGAACAAATGAAGCGCACAAGTCTCCAGTCGTGCCGTGGCCGTCGAACACACCAAAGTACATTTTCGCAGCGTCGCCCATGAAGGCTGGGAGGATCGTGCAGCTGTCTTGGTTCGGCTTGTCGAGAGCTGCAAGTTCACACGTCAGCAAGCGGCCCACTAGAGGAAGATAGCGATGGTCTTGAGAACTCACCGTCTGGATAGTATCCGCGTTGCGAGACGAAAGCGTACTGTGCGCTCAGCTTGGACGTCACTTTGGATTTCATTGTTTTCGGCGAGCAAACGATGCGGGAGTTGATCTGCTCCTTCGTAAGCGGCGAGCGAGCAGGTTTACTGGGACCAGTTCCATTGCTGTTGCCCAGTTGGGCCAGGATCGTGGATTCCCCATCGGGGCGCTGCATGATGGAGGCGCCGCAGCCCATGGTCAATGGCTTGGAAACCGACGCCAGACTAACCTGCAGTGCACGTTTCTTCACAAGCTTTCACGTTGTCAAAATAGCTCCTCTTAAGCGCCTAGAAAAAAGTGTCACCCAATTTTAGCTGCTCGGTAAGTATCACACATCGCATGCCTGCCCCCCCCCCCTATCCCAAGACACCTTGCTTCAATTCCTTACTGCGATCAATAGCGCACCCTGACACATGCAGAGCCTCATCGATTGAGATGCCGCATTTCCATTGACGCTGCCTCTCATTGTCTGGAGCTGTAAGCGCCGCTGCCTGCCAGATCCACCACGGTGCGAAACTCGCCGTCACTGCGATATATGCGTCTAAAAAGCTATATTTTCCAGCCTGTGAAGTCATCTAAACATCTCGATAGTATGTGTCATCATACAGCGTCCTGTTTTGCCGGCTCCTGGTCCGACTGGAGACGGCGCACCATGTCGCCGTGTTCCCTCTGCGGAGGAAGTTCGTCCCTGCCTAATAAGATCGTATCTTCTCGTATCTCGGCCGACGCGCCCTTCTTCATCTTGATATGTGCGTTGGGCGAGTACACTTCTTCGTTGTTAAACCACTTGCAGCTCACGTACTGCACCTTGCAGCGGTTGTAGTGGATCATCTTGCCCACTGTCTTGTCCTCGCCATAGTCGAGTCCGTCCAGCTCGACGAAAATGGGTTTCTCCAGCATGCACTTCAATAGCGCACTACCTACAAAGTACGAGCCTCCCGTGGCGAACACGTACGAGTTGGTGTTGGCCACATCGCCGAGATTCACGTGCATGTCGCCGGCGTAGCACGAGTCCAAGTCGGTGCATTTCTTGAGACATAGATAGTAGTGTGGCCAATAGATGATAGCCTCGTCGTCCTGTTTCATTAGATGATTGCGCGGATCTGCGGCGTGTACGTGGCTCATGATGGTCACTGTCTTGTTGTGTAGGTTCATGTAGCTGTCCACGCCCGAGTGACGCACCACTCGCAGACTCTCCTCGAGTGCAGAGGGCACCGCCACACCGTCGTGTGCGAACAGGATTGTGTGTGGACTAGCGATGAAGCCTATGAAGTCCCAGTTGGTCTTTTTGCACACGAACACGACGCGTTGTGTGTGCTCGATGAGTGACGCCGTGAGCTTCTCCACCAGCGTCACCTCCGTTGTGGGGAGCACCTCCGCCGTGTAGCCCAGTCGCACGTGGCAGAAGAACAGCAGCAACTGGGCATAGTAGCCCAGTACGAAACCTACAGCCAGCAGTCCTAACAGTGCCGGGACGCGGCGCAGTGCCCGTTGACGTGGAAGTGCACGAGCGGCCGCAGCCTTCTCCCGCTCCTTGAACCGCGTACGTGGCGAGTCTGGCGTGTCTGCATGAGTCTCCGGGAAGCTGCCGGTGCTGGCGTTGCGCGTACGGCGGTGCGCCGTCGGCAGCAGCGGCGACGTGCCCTCCCACACCATAGCGATTCACGATTCGCGAAGATGGCTCCACGACGTAAGTTACTTACGCTTCCCCTGTACAAACAAATAATGTGTCTGCAAACTCGAAACCCTGTTCAAAGCCATCTTGTTTATTTCAGTACATATGTATGATACATGATGTATCTCCATTTTCAGAATTCTCAGTGGCTCTGCCGGTAGGAAACCGGTTTCATTTTGAGGTATGCAAAAAGGCGATCTCGCTATTTATATGAAGGCTTTGTTTCCAGTAAGTGCCGAAGTATTAATACCAGCAACAAGGGTCCAGTATACCGGTAGTATGAAAGGACTTATTAAGTTCTACCCATACACTTTCTCAGTATCACATGTTCTTTTATTACTGTATTAGTACATGAATGCCTTAAATTGGTCTTTGAGTAGTACCTTTTGTTTAGTTTTTTTAATAATAATACTTACTGTATTTATTATTTGACAACATTTGGCGGCACCATTCATTTTGACACTCGACGGACATGGTGAAGTCGTACCTGCGCTACGAGCGCGCGTGCTCTTTCGGCGTGATCGCCTCCGTGGAGGGCAATGTCATTTATGATGCCAGCGGGCGCTTCGCCATTGCGCCAGCGCTGCAGGACGTGGCCGTGTGGAACGTGCGTCAGGGCAACAAGGTGCGCGACCTTCTGGCGCCCGAGAGCGGTGGTGGCCAGGTCACAGCATTGGCACTGAGCCCCGACGGCAACGATGTAGCCTGCGGCTACTCGACCGGAGCTGTGCGCGTGTTCAAGCTGGCTACAGGTGCGCTGGTGGTGACGTTGGATGGACACAAGGGAGCAGTGGAGGCGCTGGCGTACCGCGCGGACGGCGCCGAACTAGCCTCGGGCTCGCGCGACACGGATGTGATCGTATGGGACCTGGTGAGCCAGACAGGCCTCTTCCGTCTAAAAGGCCACAAGGACGCCGTCACAGCGCTGGTCTTCCTGACACCCGCGACGCTTGCATCCTGCTCCAAGGATACGCTCCTCAAGGTCTGGGACCTCGAAACGCAGCACTGCGTGCAGACGTGTGTAGGACACCGAAATGAAGTGTGGTCACTAGCTGTGAACCCCAGCGGAAACCGGCTGCTGACCGGCGCGTCCGACAACCAGCTACGTGTGTGGAGCGTGCAGCACGAGGATGAAGAGGAAGGAGAGACGGTCAAGCTCTTGGGCTCCATTTACAGACAGAGCAACGACCGAGCTGCCCGAGTGGCGTACAACCCCAAGGGTGATTTGGTCGGCATACAGAGTGCTGGGAAGACGGTGGAGATCTACCGCGTGCGATCGGCCGACGAGATCAAGAAGAAACGCCAACGTCGTGAGAAACGTCAGCGCGAGAAGGCCAAGAAGAAACAACAACAGGTCGACGAAGCCGGAAAGAACCAGAAGATTGTCATTCCAAAGACTCAGGATGCGGACGAGGAGGATGCCGCGGACAACTCGGCCACGGATGAGCTGGAGCTGCTCTGTGTGGTGCGATCGTCGCACCGCGTCAAGTCGTTCTCCTTCTCTCCTGATGTCGCAAAGGATGGCACCACGTCGCTGATGCTTGGTCTGCAGAACAACAGCATCGAGACGTACACACTGTCTCCCAGTGCAGCAGCGCTCGAGGACCGATACGGCAAGTCGCATGCGCTCACACTCAGTGGACACCGATCGGATGTGCGCCAAGTTGCTATCAGCTCGGACGACCAGCTCATCTTGTCGCTGTCAGGCGCGTCTGTGAAGATCTGGAACGCTCGCTCGTTGCAGTGTATCCGCACACTGAGCGACGGTCTGTCGCTGGCCTTGTCGGCGGTGTTCGCGCCGGGTAACATGCACGTTGTTGCGGGAACGAAGCTGGGCCAGCTGCTGCTGCTCGACCTGAACTCGGGCGAGTGCATCTGGAAGGACGAGGAGGCGCACAACGGCAGCGCTGTGTGGTCCATCGACGTGCGTCCCGATGGACGTGGCATTGTTACTGGTGGTGCTGACCAGCATGTCAACTTCTGGGACTTTGAGATGCTCCGCCCGAACGACGCGGAACCCAAAAGTGCGTTGCGTCTTGGTCTATCACACGCGCGTATGCTCAAGATGTCGGACGACGTGCTGTGCGTGCGCTTCAGCAACACGAAGGACCCGAAGAAACTGGTCGTGGCGGTGGCTCTGCTGGACTGCACGGTCAAGGTGTTCCACGACGACTCGCTCAAGTTCTTCGTGAGTCTGTACGGCCACAAGCTTCCGGTGATGTCTATGGACATTTCGTCGGACGATGCCATGCTCGTGACTGCGTCTGCGGACAAGAACGTCAAGCTGTGGGGTCTGGACTTCGGTGACTGCCACAAGTCGATCTTCGCGCACCAGGACAGCATCATGTGCGTCCGCTTCGTGCGCAAGACCCACTACTTCTTCACTGCATCCAAGGACAAGTCGATCTGCTACTGGGACGGCGACCACTTTGAGCGCATTCTAAAGATCGATCGCCAGCATTTCGGCGAAGTGTGGGGTCTCGCAGTCAGCGGCGATGGGAGTTTTGTAGTGAGCTGCTCACAGGATCGTTCGCTGTGCAAATATGTTCGCACAGAGGACCAGGTGTTCACCGAGGAAGAGAAGGAGAAAGAGATGGAGCAGCTCTTCGAGGACGAACTGGTCAAGAACAGCAACAACAAGGCCCCCGCCATGGGCAAGGAGAAGGGAGGGGAGGACGAGGGGGACAACGAGAACTCGGCATCCGCTGCTAAGCGCACCATCGAGTCGGTTCGTGCCGGTGAGAGCCTGATGGAGGCCATCGATCTTGCCGAGACCGAGCTGCAAGCCATTGCAGACTTTGAGCGTGTGCAGAGGAAGAAGGCGAAGGAGACTGCAGCCGCCGCGAAGAAGCGTAAACAGGAGAAGAAGAAAGCTGCCGAGAAGGCCTTGCCTGGCACTGAAGACGAGAAGATTGAGACTGAAGAGGCTTCCAGCAAGCCCGAGAAGGCGGCGAAGCGTCCACCCAACATGCTGCTATTGGGCTACTCGCCGCTCAAGTACGTGCTGCACACTCTGCGACGTATTCGACCGCACGACATGGAGGAGGCGCTTATCGTGCTGCCGTTCGACTACGTGGAGCGGCTGATCCGACTGCTGCTGCAGCTGATCTCGAGCCACTTGGAAGTGGAGTTTTGCTGTCGCGTGCTGCTCTTCTTGCTCAAGCTGCACAATTCAGCCATCTGTGCGCGGGTGGGTCTGTTCAACGAGCTGGAACTGCTGTGGCAGCGACTGCGCTCGCAGCTCGTGGAGAGCAAGAGCCGCATCGGCTTTAACTTGGCCGGCCTCAAGTATTTAAAACGCACGATCGACGAGGAGCGGACCGGGTTCGTGCAGGAAATTGCTGCCGCGCCTGCGAGCGGTGCTGGCCGCAACAAGAAGAAGCGCAAGGTCGAAGCGTAAATCTGACACATCGTAGGGAAGTTAAACTCGATTCAACTCGGAACTGTAGCGACCGGGGTCAATAGACGAATACACTTGTATACCATACGACTTTTGTTCTTTGTTCTGCAAAAAGTGTCCTTCGTTTGTCGTCTAGAACGCGTCCTCATTGAGCTCTTCCCCGATCTCTTCGGCATCGGAGTCATCTGCTGTTGAATCCGATGCAAACTTTAATGAGAGTTCAGAAGTTGCCCTCAACAAGCGTATGGAGTCGTCTAATTATTACTTCCTCTGGTCGGTAATGATCACGCGAAACCGACACAATGACCAATCGCTTCAGCTCTATTTATCCAATACGGCATCTGATTGGACCAAACGGAAGCCCTGCACCTCCTCTTTTTAAAGCCACCGGTTGTGCGCAGAACGGACTTCTATAGCCTCTGCAATTTCAGTTTTAGCTCTCAAGGTTTCAAGCCTCGCCTGGAGTGCGACCCGCCACGCCTGCGCTACGCTGTTTCTTCCTCTATAAACATGCCGAAGTCCAACCTTATCGACAACGAGGGCAAAAGCCGTCATTGACGAGCTTCTAAAGATTAGCAACAACAAGAGAACTACCCCGTGAAGCGTTTGATGTTCTTATGAGCCGACTTCCGGACACCGTGAAGTTAATTGGAACTGTATAGCTCTGCAATGACGGCTGGTGTCGTAGGGGTGAGTGACCTAACCGGCTTAAGAAGAACAGCGGCAGAAAGCGGAAGAATCGAGACGAAGTACGTGACAAACTGAAGAGCATTCCTATCGGGGATGAAAGACGTGTCAGTTAGAATGATAGGTTTTTTCAAATTTCTTTCGAGGATTGAACAGTTGAAAGACCTATCATACTAACTTCGCGTGATCATTTCCGACCAGAGGAAGTACTAATAACTAATATTAAGTAAAAAGTTACATGTAGTAGCATCATTTTGTTTCTGAGAAAAAATTAAGTAATATTTTTATGAGCTGGTCAACCTGGTGATAATGAGTGGTTATCTTCTTAGGGGTAGGGTATCCTATACTTGGCTGCACTAAGTGTTGGGGACGAGGTCCGTGAATAGGTAAAACCTATGCTACGGAATAATTATATGTTAAGTGTGCGGTCTACACTAACGTTGTAGAGACACCATGGAGCCACCAGGACTGCAGGTCGAACTCGAAGAGAGCGCGCATGCGACCCTGGACCGCTGTCGTGAAGCACGACCGGCCAACACGATACGAGCGTATGCACCGAAACAGCGAGAATTTAAGGCATGGTGTGAAAGAAAAGGTTTCCACGAGACTACCCGGTACCAGGTTACTGCAGCCAAAATGCACTTGTTTCTTCAAGAAGAAGTGGTCGAATTCGCACCCGCATCCTCGCAACAGTCTCATTAAAGGGTTGTTGACGTCGCTGAAGCGGGAAAGCCACGCCAAGAACAAGCGAGAGTATGCGGATCGCGGAGTTGGTTCGCTGTTAGATGGATATTGCACGACGAATGATCTCGTTTCCATATCTCGTTACTATATGAACCTAAATACTGGCAGTGACTTGCGCAACAGAATGAGCCATTTCCTTTGCCACGCGTGTCTTCTAAGAGGTGAATCTGCGCGTAATTTAGATTTACCAGACTTGTTCAGCGTGATATTGGAACATGAAGGATTTACAGAGTGTCGAGCGTTAGTGATGATCATGGAACAAGGCAAGACAAATCAGTTTGGGCGACGCGAATTTGGGTCTTGTATTAGACATCGCAATGTGGAGGTGTGTCCTGTAGGTGCCCTCGCTCTGTATCTCTTCTGGCGGTGGTCTGTACAAAAGGAAGCGGTTCCAGATTTTTTAGTGCCTGAACGATGGTACGACATTAAGCTACTCAAGTCAAACAAAGACATCACAACTCCAATGACATACCGTGCGCATTACGACGCTACCGTTAAAGCGTTTTCTGCGCTAGGGATGCGCTCGAAGGCCAAGACCCATGCCGCTCGAGGGTCAGGTGCCCGAATGGCTGAACTGGCTGGTGCCACGGAATCACAGATTAGACGATTAGGAAGATGGAATGCATCTGCAATGGAGGGATGCTACCTGAGCGCTTTACCACGCGAAGCTATGCGGTCTCTTGCTGGATTCCCTCCGGATAGGCGCACATTTTTCTTGGATCGAGCGGCAATCGATCCCCCAGAATGTCTCCTGCGCGACGTGTTTTCGTTTGTTGAAACCTACATGGCAGCTTACATGCAACAGTCAGCACCACACGTAGCAACCGGAGGGTTTCTGGAGTTGTTACTATACCTTCGGGTGGTGCTTCTTCAAGACGCGGTTCAGCTGCGCGACCTTCACCCCACACACAAGATATGGATGCACCCACCGTTTAACTCGACAGGATTTGACTCATTTGCATTGGAATTAAAAGCAAATCATATTATCGGAAGTGGACGAGGGATGCCGTCCCTTGCTGCGTCACCATCTCATATTATCGGAAGTGGACGAGGGATGCCGTCCCTTGCTGCGTCACCATCTCGTCCCTGTCCCGTCCCTCCAGATAGGCAACTATCTGAAGTGGATGGCAGTTGATAACAGCAGTTATCCGGATTGCATCCGGACTGACAGAAAAAAAGAAACAACATAAAAAATTCCGACGTGGCGAAAGACTCCGTCGTTCTTGTGGGAGGTGATGGCCCCTTGGGCGGCGGATGGTGGCTGCGACGGTGGCGGCTACGGTAGCACTGGCGGTAGCGACGACACTGACGGGGACTGTGGCGAAACCTACGGGTGTAATTGAAGAAACGATAGGTGCTGTCGAGACAGAGCCGGAAATGGGCGCGGAAGGAGACGAGCTCTTGCAGGTATCAAGGGTGCCGGACGCGCCCGAACCCGTCGTGGAGGCTGTGTCGGTGGAGGTCGGATCCGTCGCTGCAGAGGTGGTGGAGACCGTCGCCGTGGTAGAAGAGATCGTAGATGCAGTGAGTGCGATGAAAAACGCTGCAATCAGCGTGTACGAACCGGAGGTTTTGGATCCAGCGACCGAGACGATCGTGGCAGACCCGGACGTGGAGGCGGCCATGGAGAATCTGGTCACCGACGTGGTGAGTGGTGCAGCGATTGCCATGGAGCCCGTGGTGAGTGATGATAGCCGTGCAGCGGAGACAACGGAGACGGCACCTGACGTGCTGGAGGAGGCTGCTGTGCCTGCGGAGACGAAGCTTCAGACAGACGACATCGACACGTCGGTGGAGGTCGGATCCGTCGCTGCAGAGGTGGTGGAGACAGCTGCTCAAGCTCAACATGGAGAGTACGAGACGGGAGGCTACTTCGCTCTGGTAGGTGATAACCAAGAAAGCGATTGAGTCGTTGGGGCACTGTGCGGTCGACATGACATGCAGTACACCAAGAAAGGCATACACGAAGGTAAATTAGGGAGTTATGTATGGCGTTAAAGGTTTGAGTTTGTGGTATCCCGCTGACGCGTACAAATGTTATTTTAATCAAATTACTGTATGTATTCCTGCCTTTTACAGATTACTGCCGGCCTTTTAAATTCTCACTCAACGCGTTCAGAGTAAGCTGAGACTGTGTACGTTGGCCCTCGAGAATGCACACTGCCTGTGCTTCACTAACATGCTGTTGTTGTGCCACCAGAGTAACACGATCAATAATTCGCTTACGACGAAAGAAGAAACGTTTTTCTGCGGGGCTGTTGCGCCAGTTTGAGCCGTAGCGCTCCTCCAGGTCGCGTACCGCTGGACCTCCATGGATACCGGTCGTCCATTCTTGCCAAACTTGTTGCACTGTTTTTATGGATCTCACTAACTTGTAAGTTGGAGGCAATGGTGCATGCTGAGACGCAGCAACAGGGGTAGAAGTTGATGATTGTGCTGATCCCCAGTCAACAGTAAGACGGACCGCTGAAGACCCCGATGTAAGTCGTGAAAATGCTGTCGCTATATGGTTAATTGATGTACTGATCTCGTTGATCTTGTTGTCGATGTGCGCTATTGTTTGCTGCTGCTGCTGCTTTAGGTGGTCCATCAAGTCTGGAACAACTTCGTGTAAATGCGTTGTCTGTGGCGACTTTTCAGTGAGCATTTTTGCTTTTAATTCCAATGCAAATGAGTCAAATCCTGTCGAGTTAAACGGTGGGTGCATCCATATCTTGTGTGTGGGGTGAAGGTCGCGCAGCTGAACCGCGTCTTGAAGAAGCTCCACCCGAAGGTATAGTAACAACTCCAGAAACCCTCCGGTTGCTACGTGTGGTGCTGACTGTTGCATGTAAGCTGCCATGTAGGTTTCAACAAACGGAAACACGTCGCGCAGGAGACATTCTGGGGGATCGATTGCCGCTCGATCCAAGAAAAATGTGCGCCTATCCGGAGGGAATCCAGCAAGAGACCGCATAGCTTCGCGTGGTAGTTTCCATTGAAGGCGGGTCTGTTGCAACTACATGTAGAACAGGTGAGTAGTAATAATTGTGTCTTTTCTTAACACGACTACTCGTATTATACATGTACTACAAATAAACGGTAAAACGACCGGTTTTTCTTCCACTTGTACTACATGTAGTATATTTTGACTGTGTTTTAAAAGGCTGATAAACAAGAAGCACGTTGCATTTGCCGGCTAACTGCGTGTAAATGTACTGTAGATAGAAAGCTCAGCTTGTCAGTGTACCCTCCCCCTTTTCAAGCCATTTAGCTGCGCGTGGCGTCGAGCTCAGGTAGCATCCCTCCATTGCAGATGCATTCCATCTTCCTAATCGTCTAATCTGTGATTCCGTAGCACCAGCCAGTTCAGCCATTCTGGCACCTGACCCTCGAGCGGCATGGGTCTTGGCCTTCGAGCGCATCCCTAGCGCAGAAAACGCTTTAACGGTAGCGTCGTAATGCGCACGGTATGTCATTGGAGTTGTGATGTCTTTGTTTGACTTGAGTAGCTTAATGTCGTACCATCGTTCAGGCACTAAAAAATCTGGAACCGCTTCCTTTTGTACAGACCACCGCCAGAAGAGATACAGAGCGAGGGCACCTACAGGACACACCTCCACATTGCGATGTCTAATACAAGACCCAAATTCACGTCG